TCTCTATAAGTTACTTTAATGGATGATTGGGGCTCCGTCTATCTCCACCGGAACCCAGTATTCTGCAAAACTCTACCCTCCTGCATCAGTTTTTTTTTTATTATTATTGCTGTCCGTCTTTTACCACCGGATGCACAAGCTATTGGGCGTTTCGTCTATCTCCACCGAAACCCCAGATACTATTATCATTTTGTTTAAACTTACTTTGGGGGAGCCGTTGGTTCATTTGCCGTGCCATTGTCGCGACCGGCTGGACAATCGAACCCAGGCAGATTTGCCATATTCTTTGGTTTGGATGATCCAGCCGCAGGTTCCTCGAAAATCTTTACTAACAGGCGAGAGCGATGCCACTCGCTTACTCGACTTATTGTCGGATAGGTGCTGGTGCTGCTGTTGTTGTTACACTGCCGCTGGTTACTACTGCTGCTGGTTAATACTGCTGCTGGTTACTGCTGCTGCTGTTGTGGCTTGTACCGCATCTGCCGAAAAAGTCCGAGAGCGCAGTTTGTGCTCTCTTATTTATACCCAAGATCGTTTCATTTCCCCTTTTCTTCTGACCAATGAGCATCATGATAACGATTTTAGTAAGAAGGGAGATTTATTGACGCATGCCTTTTTTTTTTGATACATATGTATATATTGTTATTCTTATTATTATTATTATGTTATTATTATTATTATTTTTTGTTATAATTATTATTATTATTATTTTATTTTATTTTTTTAAATTATTATTACAATCCTGCCTATACACTGCTGTTTGTGTTTATTCGCGTAATTCACATCAAAGATTGATCACTTGCGTAGGAAATCAATTTGGTAAGGCATTTGTGACCAGCATTTCTCGCAATTCTAGAATTTCTCGCAATTCAATTCGTTGGCATTTCTCGCAATTCTAGAATTTCACACTAGTGAATGATTTTCTTTCATTTGTCTCATCTACACTGAACCAATATGACATATTCCTGTTATGTAGAAATCTTATAAATTTGCGCTATAAGATAATCCATTGAAAATTATATGATTGAAAATGTGCCAGGTAAATTCTATATGAATATCTGATACATTTACAATGCTGATAATTTGGTAACTTTTATATGATCGTCGTATGATAAATGAAAATCGATCAAATTATAATAATTAACTGAAATGGATTTGAAACCCATAAGCATAAGCTACACTTTTCACCACAATATAATATATGTGTCATAAATCAATCGAAGTAAAGTTTGTGTGAAAATCACATGAAATTTACTTCTTCTTTTGACACATATATTTAATCGATTTCTAAAAATAAATCGAAAAATAAACATCAGGCAGGGGGAGCTTTCACAGTTGTGCCTTTTTTTATTGTAGCTGATTTGGGATTCGATCAAGGACTGTTGAGGTGTGATGCTTTCGGTGTCTGCGCTCGATTTCACTGGGCCACGACTGACTTCAAGATTGAGCTCGTTCAAATTGGCAAATCAAAGTTGGCACTCGTGGAGAATAGAAGAACTATGAGAGTGATGATGGTTTCAAAATTTTCCACGGAGAGGTATACGAGTGCAATCTTAAAATGCTTTTATTTTGAAAATTGAGCGTTGAATTTAAATCTGGTTGTTGCTACAGTTGTAGAAAAGCTGAAATCTATGCATACACCTAAAAATCTGAAAAGAAATTAATTTTTCTATATTATATATCTACTGAGTAGTCCTTAAGTTTTCTACTAACGTAGCATCAACCAGATTTAAATTGGCAAATCAAAGTTGGCACTCGTGGAGAATAGAAGAACTATAACAGTGATGATGGTTTCAAAATTTTCCACGGGGAAGTATACGAATGCAATCTTAAAATGCTTTTATTTTGCAAATGGAACATTTTATTTAAATCTGGTTGCTGCTACAGTGGTAGAAAAGCTCAAATCTATGTGTACACCTAAAAATCTGAAAAGAAATTAATTTTTCTGTATTATTTGTCTATTGAGTAGTCCTTAAGTTTTCTACTAACATAGCACCAACCAGATTTAAATAAAATGCTCCATTTGCAAAATAGAAGCATTTTAAGATTGCTCTCGTATACCTCACCGTGTAAAATTTTGAAACCATCATCACTCTCATAGTTCTTCTATTCTCCACGAGTGCCAACTTTGATTTGCCAATAAAATGCTCAATTTGCAAAATAAAGGCATTTTAAGATTGAACTCGTATACCTCACCGTGTAAAATTTTGAAACCATCATCACTTTCATAGTTCATCTATTCTCCACGAGTGTCAACTTTGATTTGCCAATAGCATGAAGTAAGAACAGCTCTCCCGACATGGAATGCAGTGCAACGTTATGCTCGTTTTGCTAGAGTGAAGACAAATCTCGATGAACATTTCAAATGGTCCTATCTGCTTTGATCGATTCTCTTCATCGACTTTCTCTTTTGATAACCACTGCTATGCAAACAGATTTCGCGCTAATTTAGCCACATAGTTTGATAAAGGAGGTTCTAATCTAGCGTCCAAAACGCCAAATACGACAGGAAAAGGTTTTGCAGCTGAGTTATTAACGAAAGAGAAAGTCGATGAAGAGAATCAATCAATGCAGATAGGTCCATTTGAAATGTTTATCTAGAAATAGCAGTGACAAATTTATGTTCCGTTTCGGTGGTGTGGTTTGTTCAAATCTTTCTTAATGCACCTGTGTGCAATAAATCAACGACTAAATTATATAAGTTGATGTAACTGGTTCATGAAGTTCGAGTACTAGGGCTGGAATCTGAATTAGCCGTGCTTACAATAAGAATCATAGCAAAGTAAATATTGCAGTAGAATCATTTTTTTTTCAATCTCAATACATTCTTTTCCGGAAACAAACAAAGATTATTCAATACAGTATCATTGTTGTTAGTAGTATTTAGTTCAACTTATCATTTTAATGAGTGTACGATAACATCGTTGAAAATTGTTTCAATAATTTATAAAAAACATTATTTTAAGATTATTTTTTTCTTGAAACACGAGAAAAGTAGCCAATATTTGTGCGTTTCATAATAAATAGAAATTTGTTGGTCCAGTTTTGTGAAATCGCTGGTAAGTCACGCCAAAACTGCTTGTCAAAGTGGTCAATTGTAAAGCCCTCTAGTTAAAGTATGGACGACTGTCACAACAAAACTTAAAAAAGCTGTTTCAATCGAGCAAAGCGGTGCATTTTGACGGTTCGATTGGAACAACTTTTGACAGACGTCCATACTTTTACTGTAAGGCTTTAGTCAATTGTCATGAACATTAACGAAAAATAAAACACTAGCAACAATGTGAATTTTGTGTCACCTATGTATTAAGCACCTAGAACCATAATTGGCAAATCAAAGTTGGCTCTCGTGGAGAATAGAAGAACTATGAAAGTGATGATGGTTTCAAAATTTTCCACGGTAAAAGTATGGACGACTGTCACCACAAAACTGAAAAAAAAGCTGTTCCAATTGGCAAATCAAAGTTGGCACTCGTGGAGAATAGATGAACTATGAAAGTGATGATGGTTTCAAAATTTTACACGGTGAGGTATACGAATTGAATCTTAAAATGCCTTTATTTTGCAAATGGAGCATTTTATTTAAATCTGGTTGATGCTACGTTAGTAGAAAACTTAAGGGCTACTCAATAGATATATAATATAAAAAAAATAATTTCTTTTCAGATTTTAAGGTGTATGCATAGATTTCAGCTTTTCTACAACTCCATTTTCAAAATAAAAGCATTTTAAGATTGCACTCGTATAGCTCTCCGTGGAAAATTTTTAAAACCATCATCACTTTCATAGTTCGTCTATTCTCCACGAGTGCCAACTTTGATTTGCCAATCGAGCAAAGCGGTACATTTTGACGGTTCGATTAGAACAACTTTTGACAGACGTCCATACTTTTACTGTAGGGCTTTACTATAGACGAGTGCACTGATGGATTTGAGTTCACTTTCTCGACAAAAAGTGACAAAACAGCGGGGCCCTGTTTACTAAAAATGAACATATGAATAATGCTTGCGTAACATATGAAAAGGGCCCATTAAAATTTGTAAACAATTTGCTTAGTCATTTTCACGAGAACCAAAGAACCTCCACGCAAACCAAGAGCACTATCTGGAAGGAGAGAATTTCCCCTACCCGATGGTGTTGTTATTTTGCGTGGGCGTATTCGGTTAGTGCGAAAAGGGCTCAACCAGTTTTGTGTACTAAAGTTGATAGGCCCGTTTCAAATGTTATTCATGTGTTCAATTTCAGTAAACAGGGCCCCGCTGTTGTGTCACTTTTTGTCGAGAGAGTGAACTCAAATCCATCCGTGCACTCCAAGTGGGGGAGGTGGCTGTCAAATACGAACAATCGTCGCCTACCTCGCATAACTGGTTCCAAACGTAAACAAGCCATAAGAAACCTACAGCGTTTGTTTACGTTTGGAACCAGTTTCATACAAGAATGATCAGTAGGCTGATTTGACAGCACCTCCCCCCCAGGTGCAGAAAGAGGTGAAGCAGATCGTGAAATATGGTTGGATTAGTAATCCAAAAAATCAACGTAAACGCAAGTAGTGACGTCACTAATTGCTTGTATCGTACAGGGGTTTTCCTCACACACTTAACCGATTGCTTCACCTCGGTAATCGAGTTCATTGCTATAAATCCCTTTATCTGTCAAATAATGAGTTACTGTCAATGAGCTGGATTACCGAGGTGAAGCAATCACTCACACAACCACTGTACGATACACGCAAGTACACGCAAGTAGTGACGTCACTACTTGCGTTTACGTTGATTTTTTGGTTTACTAATACAACCCTATTTCACGATCTGCTTCACCTCTCTCTGTACCTCATTGAGTTACTGTGCCCTCGTCAATAGACTTGTTTTTAGACTGGCTTCTGTCAAATCGACACTATCAAGAGAGATCAAGAGCGGGTACTCGCCAACGAGTCCATATGTTGGATACTCTTCGCGTTAAACTCTCTCCAGCTGGTTTACTGTACTAGTAGTAGTAGTTCATCTTCGGCTCTGTCCTGTTGGTGTCAACTATCCACCCGGGTTTGATTTGAGTATTCAATATTTTGTCTTTTAAGCATATCAATTTAATTCGATTGTTCAGAAGTGATCGGAATAGTGAAATCAACATTCCATTTTCAACTTTATTTGCATGTAAGTATGAAGTGAGCATGTATTATAAATTTTAAATAGATCAATTATCATTGGTTGCCCTAATGCCTTGTCAATGATGATAATGTGTTATCAATCCATTCAAACTAAATTGACTACGGTTATCAATTAATCGCACAGACCATTCATTGGGAGTATCTTATATGCTTATAATATTTGTAGAATGATTTTTTGGATTTGGATTTTTTTTTCCAAATATCCTATCATCTTCAACTAGTGAGTGATTCTATTCATCAAATCCGCACCAACGGTGCAAAACGAGCTACGGCCATAAACTGTATTTGCATTACATGTTAGATTTTAGTATTAATTCGTACAGCATAAATTGCATGAAATTAAATTATATCGTCGAAAGTAGAAAAAATGTATAATCGATGAAAAGAATCTCTTTTTATTGATTCGTTGGATGTTTGAGCAACTTCTAAATTTGCACCTTTGCGCACAAATTCGTTGAGCATGTTTAGCGTTTTTACGTTAGAAAGTCACATGATTATTTTGTATGTGCATGAAATTATAAATAGCTGTGCTTAAAACAAAAATTGGCGTTGGCTTGCGAGTGTCGATTTATTATTCATAATACAACAGTGGCAAAGAGAAGCAGGAGAACCTGCTACATGCGATTTGTTCTATGTGACCTGTAACCTGACAACTTGAAAGTAGGTTCAATATATTTTATCTAGTTGGGCAGCTGATTTACCAGCATAAACAAGAAAAAAAAACAATTTCATAAATTTATATTAACGCTTATTTGAGTACCGCGTGCTCATAAGTTTTCGCGTTACATAATAAATAAAACTGTTTTTATTTATGTTAGAATTTGCACCAACATATGTTGCAAGCCTATGTAGATACGTCCAAATCAAGAGCGTCGCTTGCCCAATTATACTGTTTGCTTATAATTGGCTGATATTAATTAAAAATCTTTTACCGGATTTATCAATAATAATGTATGACTGAAAAAAATACTTACGTATCCTTTGGTTCAGGTAAGTTGTATTGAACTTACATGCAAAACATTTCTAATTTATTACATCCTGTGATAAATAATTATAAGGCTGATGCAAATTTTATTTTTATTTTATATCACCCCCCAATATTGAAGTGGCGAAACAAATCCGGCCTATACTCGTCACTCGTTCTGCACTTAATATTGAAACATCACGCAAAACAAATTTCTCTTACAAATCAATTTGGATTTATTACATCCTGTGCATATTTTTACAAATGTAATGGCAGTTCTTGCAATGAACTGCAGCATAGGGAAAGGAGGAGCATAGTGAACAGGTGAGGCATAGTGAGCTTCTTGTGATTTATCGTTGGATTGTTTATGGTTCGAAATAAATTAATTGATCAATGCAATGGCTAATTGAACCTACTACCAATTAATTTGTTTCGAACAATTAGACGATTGGGACTGGAATGCGGGATGATCATTATGAGATGGCAACTGTACCCGAACAGTGGCGGTTGCTTCTTAACTTTTTCTCTGGCTGGAGCGCTCTTGCAAGCTGCTTTCGGTGAGCCTTTACTCTGGTCCACATATCATCTATGTTGAGCATGTGTTAAACGATACAAATGAGAATGCGGCTTCGGCTTGTTTCGTTTGGTACCAACTATGTGATGGCTCTATTAGGAAAGACACCTTGTGGTCTAAGCAAATGTATGGGAAATTGTGATGCTTCCAATTTTTGTTAAAATTCGAAGTTGCTTAACTATTTGTACTATATGCCAAAAAATTGCTGGATAGAGTCCCCGTCGATTGACATATTGCATGTCATATTTCACATTAATGCTTTGGAGAAATATCCGTTTGAAAACACCCCCTCTTTTTCGTTACATGCCTTAAGCCCTATACGCAATGTGGGCGGAAGCGGAACGGAAACGGAAAGTTTGACATCAAGATGCCTAACCGAAGTCGATTTGGTTCTAACTAGTTTTCAATCCGACAAGTTGGCTTACTCAGATCGGGCTTTTCCGCTCCCGCTGCCGTTCCGCTTCCGCTGTCATTACGCTTGGGCCTTTATTTTCTATTGCTTAATGTTACCCCCATAAAGAGTACAGACTAAGAAAATGAAGATTCGAAGTGGACCGTGCTCTTACTTCAGTGCCAACATTTCGAAGGGGCGTAATTGCTTTTGTAAACAATGACTTTAGCCGTCAGTTTCTCGCGAATGAAATCTTACCTCTGCAAAATTACAATGCTAGCTGGTAGAGGAAACATTCCGCTACCTTCTGGTGTCATTATTTTTCATGAGTGAGCTTTTATTCGCGAGAAATCGACGGCTAAAGCCATTGTTTACAAATGCAATTACGCCCCTTTGAAATGTTGGCACTGACTTGTTCAATTCATACTTATGTTTAGAGGTCAAATATATAGGAACCACACACCATTTGTTTTATTTTCAAGAAGCAAGAAAAATGCGCATGATAAGTTTGTGAGTTTATAAGATTTCTCGAAGAGACAATCGCTATCAACGAAAGCCATATCTTTCCGATCGATAAATGCCACTATTTAGGACTTTATTTTATTGTTTTAAAGTCACTATTTCCCTCCCCTTGGCTAGTTATTGCACCTTGCTGTTGGTGGGCGGGCTTAATTTCATGCTTTATAGTGGAGTTTTGGAGACGGTAGGTTTATGGCCGGCGTTGCTGGCTCATGCCGCGATAGAATGGTGTCATGGGCAGGCAATGGGGATTACTAAGCTTCCCCTCTCTGATAAACCACTGCATGAGAGAACCAAAGATCTAGTCTAGCAGACAGCAGTGATAGTATCACACTTGTTACTCCTTTTATTGAGAGCCGCGTCGTAGTACGCTTACGTATAGGCACTGACGTTGGGTGTGATACTGGCGGGTTTTGCCGCAAATCACTCTTATTTTATTTATTTTTACGCAGATAGATTTATGTGGCTTTGCAAGGGAATTATACTATTGAAATATTTCAGAAAGTGCCCAACGGTGCTCCTTCTACTTGCGTGACAAGCTTTTATTGTTGTTTTCATTGAAGTATTACTCATGCAACAATGTTAAACACCATTTGTGTACATGGTATTGTAACTAATCTTATATGTGCTTCATTTTGATTTGGGATAAGTGTTTGAACTATGGCTCGGGATTTCCACTGTGGCTTGCTTCTATTGTGACATATCCATACGTAATTTTGTGGGACGACATAGTGGAAGCGTGTGAGCATAGTTGGAGCATATACCCTATATAATTTTAAAATCAGCTTGGAAACTAACTTCAAAATGAAGCATTTTAGTCACATGAAGGTGTTACCTGGGTCGAACTAAGATATAATAAATAGGTATAGGTCAAAATCAAAAGTACTTGAAACACGTTTAATTTTAGATTACAAGCACTAGTGCAGGTACTTAATAAAGCATGGGTTAAGATTGATTAGGTGAATTAGAGCTTTTAATAATTTATTAAATTAGACTAATGAGATATCATAATCATCAAATGAACTTAAATAAGAAACTTCAGAAAGTTTAATGACATTAAGTAGATCAACAAAAGAATTAGGATGCGGGGGGTCCGCTTAGGGAGGCAACTAACCTTTAAAGTTGTAGAATAAATCTTCTTATTTAGTCTTGAACTTTAAAAAGAAAACGCAAGCAGACCAATAGCATTAAGCAGATTAACAAGGAGAGGAATAGTTTAGGAAATAAGTAAAAGTAGAGGTATATGACTTTTAAACTTTTGGAGGTTTAGTTTGCTGTACTTGATTACTATATTATTCTCTCAATACGCGAAATCTCTTACATATGCGGTTAAAGCATTTGAGTTAACTTATTTCTTAGGTTTCAAGTACTTACATTTGTAAACAGCAGTCAATGTTAATCTATGAACTATTAAAAAATCTACGTAGCTATTGATGCATGTTTACCTTTTCGCGGCTGTCGGAATCAACGCGCCTACGTCTACGGAGCTTACGCAGAAGTGATTCGCAATGCGGTAGAGCTCATTAAAAGTTTTTTTTGAGCTTCTGTAGTATAGAATTTGTTCGGTACGGTCGCGAAATCTTGAAATAATTTATACGTGCGGTAAAATAATTAAATTGAAACAGCTCAACAGTAACATAAGTAGAATATTTAGGGAGGAAACCAAAATTATTCAACTTGCCAACATAGGCTATCACATTTATTTTGGTGGCACTCTTTAAGTGATAATAAGCTGTTTTTCTCTACGGTTATTTCGCGTGGCGTTCACAATTTGCGCGATTTTCGTATCTTACGTAATTTAGATGTTTAGCTCTAAACGGTTTTACTGACTTGAGGTTGTTCCTTAAGCGGTGTTGGTACAGGTTAAACCTTTGCCGACTGTCGGATTCAATGCGCCTACGTCTACGGAGCTTACGCAGAAGTGATGCGCAATTCGGTAGAGCTTGTCAAACGCTTTTGAGCTTATGTAGTATAGAATTTGTTCGGTGCGGTTGCGAAATCTTGAAATGATTGATACGTTCTTTAAATTAACTAATTTGATACAAAGCTCAGTAGTAAATAAGTAGAATATCTAGGGAGGAAACCAAAATTAATCAACTTGCCAACATACGCTATCACATTTATTTTGGTGGCACTCTTTAAATGATAATAAGTCTTTTTTTTCTTTAGTTGGTTGTTTTGAACTTCGTCGAAATTCGCGCGGTTTTCGTAACTTACATAATTTAGCATTTTTTCAATAACTATCTTGAAACAATACATACGGAATCCAGTGTTCAAGCGGCCAACATAGGCTAGTCCTTCTGCTGTATTGTCAAAGATAGAAGCAAAATTTATTCAAATGGGTCAAGTCTTGAAAACTAAGCTGTCACGCAGCTCCAGCTTGAAACGCAATAAAAAAAAGTCACTATTGAGTCATTATTTACGTTATTTTAGTCACTACAGTCACTACTATTATTTCACATACCCTCTACCTGCCATAATGGGGCTTAATGAAAATCTTATTCGACAGTTACGTCTTCCTAATTTGATTATTGAGGG